AACAGTTTCGGTGAAGTCTATAAGGTAACGGGAAGCCCTACAATTCTCGTAAAGGTACCTTATATTGTTTTTCACCATAAGCTCGGTCAAAGAGTTTGCATGGATGGGTTGGAAAATTCGATGATTTATAAGGACTTGCTCATAAACAATAATATCATATTTGGGGAAATAGGTCAGTGGATGAAATTTTAATTGAAAATAAAAAAGGCAAGTATATTGGACGGACGAATGTAAGAGTATTTAAGAGAATTATGTTAAAAAGTTAACTTCCAAAGATAAAAGAATATCATAAGAGGAAAAAGTGTTGAACCGGGATTGGCAGGAAACGATCGTCGGTTCAGATTTTCCGTAAAAAAATTTCGGGCATTATAGTACAAACGGAAAAGAACTCAATGGCTACTAAACACTCCATAACGTCGTCCGAACTGTACAGGTATAACGTTGTTGCACTCGGGGCGTTTCGGGAGGCCACCAACCCCGGACAAGATTCTACACTCCTCTGAATAACCAGGTAAGTGAATTCTAAACTGACTACCAAAAAGGACTTGGCTCCGGAAGACCTCAAGTCGGAGGGCACTCCTTGTAAAAAAAATGTCATCTGTGGAAGCCGTGGCGCTGTAAAAAGCACGACCAATTTTTTTAGCCGGGCCGGCTAAAGTAACTGGATGGCCTACCTGCCTGTCAGCCTTCCATCTGTGCACAAACTTATCTCGTGCCCTCATTGGTCATGTGCGCGTTCGTGTGTGTTGGAGGAGGGGCTCTGTAAGGAAGTGGCAGATTTTTTCCGGTTGTGTATTTTCAAATTCTAGCGCACTCGAGCTGGTTTCTCCAAAATGACCTACCCCACCTTTAAATACAAAATTATAAAACTGAAATTTAAGTCAAGTTATATTTATATAAATATATTAACAGTCATCAACAGTTATTAAAACTTCTTACTTAAAAAAAAAAGAATCTTATTTTATTCTTAAATGGTGTGACCGTCTTGAGCCCAATTGCCCCAGAATAAATAAAGTTGGCTGTTCCTGAATCTGATATATTCAATCCCCAAAGCCAAACCCACCATTTACCATCATCAGTAAAGGCTTGCTAAACTACATTTTGGGAGTACTATATCTTGTCTGAGCCTGCAAAAGTCAACAGTTACAAGCACTCCTGATCATCCGCCTGTTACTGTCTCATGACCCTCTGCAGGTGTGGCTTTACTGATCCGAGGGGCAAAGCTCAACTACCTGATCTCCAACCAAAGTAGCAATGTAGCAACGCCTCAGGAATTTATAGCACTGCAGTATTAAATTCCAAACACGACCATCTCAAGTCGGCTATTTCAGCAGAGAGTCCTTTTATACATTGCTTTAGCTTTCAGCGTGACAAAAACCAGTTGAGATGTTTATAGACAAGAATGAAAACATGGTGAGCAGGCGGTAATTTGGAGAGCCAAAGTGAAAAGTGAAGCCTCACAGCACATCGCTCTCAAACTAGAAAGGAAATAACAGTGATCTCAAACAAATTACATAACTTTTTCATTGTTATGATTACTAATTGACCTCAAGCAATAAACTGGATCTGCGAGTATCTGTGAGCAAGCTAGATGGTGAGTCTGTGTCACAAAACTGACTCACAGTTGAGCTTTGCTTATGTATACCTTTAGGGCTTCTGAATACGTCAAACAGTTATTCAGTTTTTACCACGAGGTATGTAATCCCCACTGCTGCAACAAATGCTACTTTAAGATACTGTGGTTTGCCTTTTATAAAGCATCGAGCAAATTATATTTGTAAACTTTGGAACAGGACGACTTTCAAACATGAAAGTGAAACCACTTTCCAAAAGCTAAAAATTGAAACGGCAGCGGGTTATTTATGGAACAAAACTGAGAGTTTCCGTCGAAATTTGGGGTGTATAATAAACCGCTATTGGAAACAGTGTTTGATTGCGGGAAACTTAGAAATGTTAGAGTGGAAAGTGATTTTGTTTTATAAATGATTTATTAAACGTTAAATAATGTAACATTGTCAGTCAGAAAATGCAATAGAACTGCACATTACACTTGAATTGTGAACAAAAACCACATCTGAAAAAAATGAGCCTACTAAAAAAAACGTACAACGCAATTCCCTCACCATGAACCACAACAAATACATTGCAGATGACATACCAGGAACTGGACTAAATCAACATTAAAAACAAAACCGTTGACATTTTAACCTTTCTTGTTTGGACAACACCCTGAATGCAGACAACAACAACATACACTTTTGGAGAGGTAAAGAAGGTGAGTTGTTGCACTGGCTCTTAGGTACACAAATGTAAAAACTTTATAGAATATAAACAGATTCAGGATCTAAAAACAGATTAGACGCAGCAGCCCCTGAAGCGGGTTGCTGAACTGGTTGTGGTCCACGGCTCTATTGTGTGCCTGCAACTGTATGGACACAATGAGCTGCACAAACACCTCTCCGCACACAAAACATCAGGACTCCGGATTCTCATTTAGCAATTTTAAAACAGCAAAGCTTACTCAGCACAATGCGGCCTAGACCAACCCAGACCCTCCAATTCAATTCAAACGGAACTGCATGTGCTTGCATTAGCAGCAGCTGCCCATCCCCTGTCCCCCTCACAAACACGCACGCACACACACACACACACACACACCTTTGGTATCCCAACACACAGAGAGCATGCTATCATATAAAGCAAAGGTGCTCCAAAAGGTAATATAAAGAAATGAACACATCAATGTGAAGATTGACACTCACCTGTAACGATGCTTTAGCTTCTTTGGTGGCAACAGCTTTCAATTCCGAATCTCTGAAAGACAAAGATTTGAAGGTTAATCTTTCAGCTATAAATAAAGGTTTACCTGAACACACACACACACACATTAACAAATAAAAGATAGTTTGCATGTGGGCACCTCACACTTGTATTGATGTACTGTGATTAAACAACATGTTGTAAAAAACTAAAAAACTACTACATATCATTTTAGGCGTTTATCCAAACAGATGCTAAACCTGGCATAGTAAACTGGACTCTATTAAAATGTCACAGATTAATTACTGATGGGGCACCGGTCAAAAGGCATGCACCTCACCCACAAAGTATATGCAAGGACAAGTGTACACAAACAGAGACTCGTCAGTACTGTATTGAAAGTATTTCAACTTGTTGATGTGGAAATGCAGGTTGAACTGCATAACAGTGTAATGCAAAACCAAAGTCCCCTTTAGCTCAGGCTCCACAAGGTCAATATTGTGTGTGTAGGTACATTTATGCAAATACTGTACATAAGTAAAAAATGTATGCACTTGTACTTTACTTGAGTGTTTTTACAGTATGCTACTTTTTACTTCACTACATTTTCTAGGCAAATATTGTACCTGTTACTCCCCTACATTTATTTTACATATTTAGTTACTAGGTAACAAAATATAAATCAACACATTATTGTTATTATAGGTTAAGCTACCCAGTAGCGTATAAAGTAATTCAAATAGAACAATATAATGTAAATTATATGGTGCTTGAAATTCCCATTTTGCATAACGCATACTTTTACTTTAAAGTATTTTTATGCTAATACTTTTACTTCAGTACAATTTTCAATGCAGGACTTTTACTTGTACCCGAGCCTTTTTACACTGCAGCATTGCTACTTTTACTTCCTAATCTGAGTATTTCTTCCACCTCTGATGAAAATTACAGATAAAGTGAGTGTTTGTGGGTCAGAGTTACCAGCTCGGGTGCTGATCGGCCATTATCTCAGCTGTTGCCTGACTTGCAGCTTAACCAACATGGCTTCTCTCGAGCTGGTGTTTTTCCAGCGCAGCCAAGACCAACAATGCATCAACATGGCATCTAATTACAGTCGATGCAATTAAATTATTAAGTGCTTTAGTCGTTTTTGCAACGTCGTCAAGCTGGTGTAAAAAGTTAGGTGACTGCAAAACTAG